TCCGGTTCCTTTTAAAGTCTGCTTCAACTTTGCACTTCTAACATCTCCGCTTAAACCGTGAAGTTTTATTTACTATTTATTTATATTTTTACCACAAGTATAGTAGAAAGGTTCGCGTATTGTCCGGTTCACACTCTTCCTAGGTCTTTTGAACAGGAATAGAGTTTTATTTCTCGTTTCCTGTCTAGGGTTTGGTTTTTGACTCCTAATTAAACAGTTACAGTGCATCATCCTAATAAACAATTTTTCCAAGACTAGACTCCAATTATTATCGAAATTGATGTATGATATTGCATTATTTGCACACCAGAAGAAGTACCCGGTCTTTAGAACTGAAATAGAGATCTATCACTTGTTTCCTGTTCAGGACTGGATTTTTCGTTTCTTTTAAAATCTACTTCAACGCTATACTTCTAACGGCTCTGCCTAAACTCTGAAATGTTATTATGTTTTTTAAGCAATTAACCCCAAGCAAGCAGGGAGTGCCACTAGTACGCAAGGGGCAACAGAGAGTGTAAGTAATGGAAAAGACTGGGTATAGGGGGGGGGTGAGAAAATGGTAAAACGAGGAACGGGGGAGGATAAAAAGAAGAACGAGGATCAAGGCATCAGAAGATGTCGATTGACACTGCATTTGAATTTTTGAAGATTATAGTTATCAGTGAAGCAAGAGGAAGGGAGTTCGACTGTCGGGCAGTGTGAGAGAAGAAGCTGTTGGAGTAGAAGAAGCGGTTACATTTAACTGTTTTGACAGTAAAAGGGTGGGACCTAGATGCCAACCTAGTAGTACCCTTAAATTGTTGCAGTCGCGGCACCAATGAAAATAGCTCATCAGAGCAGATGCCATGAAAATATTTATAGACAAGACAGAGAGAAGCCACATTACGTCGGTGAGAAAGTGACTGGAGGCGAGACCCTAAGATCAGGACCGATCACACTGCATATCCGTCTTTGGATTTTATAGAGAATCCAGAGATGAACGGCGGGGGCACCAGACCATATATGGCAACAGTATTCCATGCATGGACGAATGGTAGATTTGTAAATGTGAACGAAGGACTCAGACGAGAAAAAAATCTTCTGGCGCGACACAGAGAACCAAATTTCCTTACAGTAGATGCAGCAATTGATTTAATGTAGTTGTTCTACCTAAGTTCAGTGGAAGAACATGAGAACAAGAAGGCGCTTTTGTGGAGTTGAGCATCATAATATTTATTTATTTTTCCTCGGTAGAAGTAGATAGGTTTGTCTATCGTCCGATTGCCACTCCTTGTCGGTCTTTTTTTTTTCCTGTTTAAGATTGAGTTTCCGGTTCCTTCTAATGTCTTTTCATTCTCCAGAACGAAATGACTCTCTTTTAGCCATATTAGATAACCTTGTTTGCTTTCCATCATTATGGCTGATGCTAACCTCCAGGAGAGCAACTTATTTCCCCTTTTCAGCCTCACATTTTACACTGACATGACGGGGAGGAAATTATATTAAATAACTTTAAAGGAAAATTGGATCACTTTGCTTGAAAATCTTTTTTCACCAGAATCTATCTTGCATATTACCATTCACCCATGCACTGAATATTGATACCGCAACAAGTCTGATGCTTCTATGTATCTATAGATTCTTGACAACATCCGAAGAAGTGTCTGCAATCTTATTGGAATTGACCTGTCATCACGGCTTCAGTCAACATCACACCTCATAATTTCACTGTTTAATTTACTAGATGTAGTCACACAGTGACCAGTAAAAAAGCGGTAAATTCAGACATACATTTATTTAGTATTTATCAATCCACCCACGGGGATCGAATGTGGCACAAGCCCATTTTAATGTGGGTATCTCTGAGCCCGTAGGCCGAGCCAAAAATAAATAACCATCCAAACAAGCCGAGGCGGGCCAGTTCCGTCAACCTCCCCCAACGAAACCCTACCCTTCGGCGGAGCTTCGTCAGGGTTCCTCTCTGCAAGCAGAGAGTTCGACAGACACCCGACCCGGCAGCTCACAAAGCGCAGATACTACACTTTGATCCTAGCCACCGGGCCGAGCGGGACATACATTTATTTAGATATCATGATTCAGAAACAAAACTGAATACTCATCTTAGATGTTCGAAATATTTGCCTGAATGTTCAACACAAAGTTGTAACCAGGAGGCAGAAGATTTGCGCATCGTGTCAAGAGGAAATTTATTCCTAGTATCAGTTATGTTCCACTTCAATGAATCAATATCAGTGATGTCATCACGACGGATTTGCATATGATTTAAGAGTATACTCCAGATACATTAATCCATAATATTTAAATCTAGGCTTTTAGAGGACAACTGTAACGGATCAATTAGAGTTGGTATATTTTCTCGAAGAATAAATTTGCCATGTCGTTTAATCTTATAAATGAGATTTTAGAGTGCCACTAAGATGGACCAATTTGAGTTGGTGTATTTTCTTGGAAAATACATTTGCCGATTATTTTTTGCTGGGCAAGTTGTATACCGTATAAGTTCTATGTTAACCGTTTCTTCTCTCTTGTAGAAATCCTTTCTGGCTTCTTGCTTTCAACAATGATTTGATGATTCTATGTATCTATAGATGCTTGAAAACATCCAAAGAAGTGTCTGCAATATTATTGGTCCTGATCTGTCATCACGGCTTCAGTCAATTTCACACCTCGAAATTTCACTTTTGAATTTACTAAGCGGTAAATTCAGATATAAATTTATTTAGCTATCATGATTCATAGACAGAACTGAACAATCAGCGTAGATATTCAAAATGTTTGCCTGAATGTTCAACACAAAGTCGTAATCAGGAGGCAATAGCTTTGGGAATAGTGCCAAGAGGAATGTCATTACAACGTTTAGTTAAGGTCCACTTTAATGAATCAATATTGATGATGTCACGACGACTGGTTTGCATATGATTTAGGAGTATACTCCACATACAGTAATCCATAATATTCAAATCTGGGCTTTTAGAGGACTACTGTGACGGATCAATTAGAGCTGGTGTATTATCTCGAAGAATAAATTTGCTGCTTTTTCACTGGGAACCATGTAGTTTACTCGTATAAGTGAGATGATTTTAGAGGGTTACTTAGATGGACCAATTTGAGCTGGTGTACTTTCTCGGAAAATACATTTGCCTATTTTTTGCTTTGCAAGTTGTATACTGTATAAGTTAACCGTTTCTTCTCTCGCACGCTTCTCTCTCGTGGAAATCCTTTCTGGCTTCTTGCTTTCAACAATGATCTAATGCTTCTATTTATCTATAGATTCTTGAAGTGTCTGCAATGTTATTGATCCTGATCTGTCATCTCGGCTTCTGTCAATATCAGACATCATAATTTCACTGTTGAATTTACTGGATGTAGCCACACAGTGTGCAGTAAAAAAAGCGCTTAATTCAGACATAAATTTTATTTAGCTATCATGATTCATACACAGAACTGAACAATCACCGTAGATATTCGAAATGTTTGCCTGAATGTTCAACACAGAGTTGTAAACGGGGTAATCAGGAGGCTGTAGCTTTGGGAATAGTGCCAAGAGCAATGTCATTACAAGGTTCAGTTAAGGTCCACTTTAATGAATCAATATCGACGATGTCACGACCACAGATTTGCATATGATTTAGGAGTATACTCCAAATGCAGTAATCCATAAGATTCAGGTCTGGGTTTTTAGAGGTCCACTGAGATGAACCAATTTGAGCTGGTGTATTTTCTCGAAGAATAAATTTGCCGCTTTTTTTACTGGGCACACTATACTATTCATTAAGCACTCCAAATTACGAATTAAAAAATAATTTATAAAAATTGTCCCTACAGTTTTTCAGGAAATTTTAATTAACCTATTTCAGAAATGTAGCTCAGCTTCCGAACTCACGAAACCCATATTTGATGAATTTTACAGGGTGCCTAGTAAAACGGAAGTAGATTCAGAAAGAATTTTATTTAGTTATCATGAACAATCATTGTAGATGTTCGAAATGCTTGTCACTGAAATTATCCAATTTCAGCTGTTTTTTTTTTTCAAAGAATAAATTTGCCGATTTTTTACTGGGCAAGTTGTATAGTGTATAAGTTCTATGTCAACAGTTTCTTCTCTCTGGTGTAAATTCTTTCTGCCTTCTTGCTTTCAACAATGATCTGCAAAACATTAATTGCAATATCAACTGCCATCTTTTGGCGCGTTGAATCCTGCTCTTTTATTGCCCTCTGTATTTTTTTCCCTCTCAGTTACACCTTGCAGCTTAATTGATTTCATCACCTTGTTTAGGGGGAAAAGATTAAAAATAAAAATTAAAGCTTAAAAAAAAAAAAACCATAATGTCATTTATTTTTAGATAAAAAAGAAAACTTTTTAAACACTATGTCAGCTTTTATTTTTGATTTTTTACTTTCCTTCAGAATTTTTACTTGCTTTTGTTGCAATAATAATGTTGTCAGTCAAGAGCAGAGAACAAATGTCTGCTGCTTTGAAACAATAAAATAATAAGCACTTAGAACAATAACAAATAAAAAAATAAACACTTAGAGAGAGACGAACTTTTATTCACTTTGCCTGGGGGAAAACTATTTAACCTCTGAGCTGCAGGGGAAACTACAATTGATATAAAATCAACTATAATCATTTAAAATGTCATTCACTCTTACTCCGTCTCTCTTGGCACCATATTTATTCTTCATTCTACACTGGAAGAAACAATATTATACCTATATACTCACGTATCATGCGGCCTTTGAAGATCTAATTTTGAAGTCAATTTGACTACATTAAATGGACGTATAGTTTGGTCAACGGCATAGCCAGGGCCATCAATATATACGCTAATTATATATCTAAATTATATATCTATAGCTTCAAATTAGCTTCAAAATCAGGTCTTCAAGGTCTCGCTTACGGTCAAATCACGCTGAAACACCGGTTCTCGTACGATCACCGTAGTTAAGCAGCGTAGAGCCAGGTCAGGGGACCGCTTGGGAACACCTGGTACTGTAAGCCCCCAAAGTCCAACCCTTACCTCACAGTCGGTGGGGGGGTGTAAACGGTAGTGTCAGAGCTATGCCGCCCGGAACTTCGTTCCTGGTAGGGCCACCCAAGGCGGGCAGGTCTGACACACACGCCGGCTAACAAGGGCTCTGGTGAAAATCCAAGGAGCGTCTGCATCGGTAACCGGTGGCTTCTGGTCGTTCCTGTCTCTGCGTCTGTGGGAATCCCGCGGCAAGCAAGAACGTTATCCGAGTAGGCCTGGGTACCCTACTTCTGTAATTTATCCCAAGAATCTTCTTCTCATAACAGGAAGAAGCCGGCTCAATCCGCCCAGGGTGAATGCCGCATCAGTACAGTACTTCAAAGTCTCCTGAAAACATAGCATCTGTCCGAGATTCAGTAGGCAGGAATCCGAAGAAATTTGTCCGCAGTAGGTGCCAGTCCCTTGTTCTCACCAAAAAAAGTCTCCAGCGGTCAAAGTTGGCATAAATCCTACTTTAAAGTTCCCTGAAAACATAGCAGCTGTCCGAGATTCAGTAGGCAGGAGTCCGAAGAAATTCGCCCGTAGAAGGTCCCAGGGTTTTGGCCTTACCAAATTCTCTTTTCAGCGTATTCTGATTAAAGAGCTTCATCTTTATTCTTATAGAATACAATTAAAACAAAAAATGACCGCTGCTGATAAAGAAAAAGTGTAGAAATGTGCAACTGGATCTCAGACAACGTTGAAGACAAGCCAGACTTTCTTGATAATTTATGGTTCCCATATGAAGCGCATTTTCTATTCTCAGCGCATGTGAGTAGTAAGAACAATGTATTCTGGGGTTCAGAAACCCCAAATGAGGTTCTAGAAAGAATCCTCCATTCATGGAAATGCATTGATTGGGAACCCATATCAAAGCACAGCATTATTGGACCCTTCCGGTTCGAAGACGCGCAAGAGCAGCCTTTGTCCGTCACGAAGGAACACTATTTGGTGGTTCTGAACAAATTCTGGCATGAAATGGGTCCCATGAGCCGTGGCAAAAGTGCAACCAGGGTTTAGACGGGGCACCAACGGTACCAGCAAGATGGGGCCACCCCTCATACAGCAAATGTCTCTCTGGAGTGGCTGGACCAGAAGTTTCCCTACAGACTGATGATAAACGCGAACCTGAGTGGTCTCTGCATTCCCCAGATCTTTATCTGTGGGAGGGGGGTATCGAGTCTACAGGAACAACGCCCACACCATCTCAGAGCTAAATGCAACAATCACTCAAAAAATCAGAGCTATACCAAGAGTGTTATGCCAAGCGTGCTTTAAAGCTATCTACAACTTTGCCGTAGAATTCAAGCGTCTTCAGTAGAACGGAGCACATCTGGAACATATTCTATAACTGACGATAAAATCTTTGCTAGTAAAGCTAGCGATATGTTGTTTGTAGCAGAAGATTTACTAACTTTTCTAGTTTTCAGAAATATATGATTTCTATATAGTTTGTAAACAGAAAATAAATGGCGTTCACGTTCTTGGGTTAGATTTATTTTTGGACAGCCTGTACCTAAATCAAGCAAGTATAAATATCTAGAAAATAAATGAAGGATGAAAAGTTAGACACCGAAATCTGAAGGCACGGTGGGGTAATGAAAGATGTCATTCAAAAGCTAAGCTCCTTATTAAGAAACAGGAAAATCTCATTAAAAACAAAGAAAAGAGAACTTAACTATTACGTAATATCAGTCCTCTTATACGGCAGTAAATGCTGAGCAATAGCTTCACAGGAGAAGAGACTTGATGCAATAGAAATGTGACTCTACAGAAGGCTGTTGAGGATACCATGGACTGAACATGTTAGTAACGACAAAGTATTTTTTCCAAAACAAAAAGGAAACTTATGCTTAACATCAGGAACAGACAGCTGAAATGTCTACGGAACATAATGAGGAAAGAGGGTTTGGAAAATGTAACACTCATAGGACAGATTGAAGGCAAGATGTACAGGTGAAAGCAACGCATAACCTACCTGGCGAGCTTCAGTAAATGCATGGCGGAACAAGGTTTAGGAGTGATAACAAAAAGACAAAGTTTATTAGAAGCTACAGAGGACAGGACGTTGAGGAGAGCCATGATCGGCAAAGACACAAAGAAGAAAATGAAGAAGAGGATAATAAGAAATAAAGCGTGCGATGGGTAAATTGTCGTCATTTTTTATTTCGCATTTGCGCGTTGTTTGTTTTTGATTTTTGTCGACTGCACAGTAAATAGTGGGTCATTTGGTCACCGTCTGGGAAAAAAGAGCACCATGACGTAATTCACACGGCCAGAAATTTGGAAACGGCATGCTTTATTACTTAGCATTCACGCCTGAAGCTCCAATACAACCATTTCAGGGTGTTTGGGTGTCAATCTGAGGACTGGCTGTGTACCCAAGAGTCAGGACTATGGAGTGATCACTAGTAATGATGACATTATGCCTCCATTGATCTTCCCACAGGAACACAGAGAGAAGCAGTGCTGCCTTTGTCAAGAGGGTGGCTACAGGAATACCCTTTGTCTGACAACAGGACTCTGCTCCATGCCATACAACTAGAAGAATCCAGTCATGGCTGTCAGACAATTTCTGCGACCCCATCACCCCTTACATCTGGTCAACTAACTTTCCAGACTGCAACTTCTTGGTTATTATGTGTTGGGTGCAGTTGAGCGGGAGACCAACATAACTCCTTGTAACATCAAAGATGAACTGAAGGCAAGGATTATGGCAGCATTCAACAACTAGAACAAAGAGACCGCCCGGAAGAGTTACAGGAGATTCTGAAGTTGTCTGGAGTTCGTGGCTGAATCCAATTGTGATTTTATTGAATAAATTTGCTTTATTTTAAGATATTTTTGTGTAATTTTGGTCATTACATATGTTAAAATAGGATGTCATTGTTATTTTCATTTTTGCTAAATTTAGACGACAATTTATACATCGCACCCAGTAGATGCATTTTGGGTAATTTAGCAGACAATTTATCCATCGCACCCTGTAGGTGTATTTTGCGTAATTTAGACGTTACGCTGAGTAAATCACTGAAATAGACGGATGAAACATTGTCTTTGGTGTCGAGAAAATTTTAAAACTTAGCGGGTAGAATGGAGATCAACGTGGTTTAGTAGACTCAGCAATTTTCAATCTGCTTGTCTGAATCATCTTCATGAAACGAGAGCAAGATCTAAAAGGTCAGCCAATCTAACAGTGATCTTATCTCACAATCCTCACACTTGCTCCAAATGTGGCCTCCTTTGTAAATCACTAGCGGGTCTGAAATGCCACTTAAGATTATCAGACAAATTTTCATAACTGAATCAACTAGGCTGTCAGATCCTCATACGTCGAAACCGACTGGGAGAGTCCATTATACATACATACATACATACATACATATATATATATATATATATATATATATATATATATGAATTATTACTTTTAATTTATTTATTTGTCTCATACACTGACTTCAATTTAATGTTCCTGTTTCTTAGCTAAACTAAAATTGACGAATATTCAACAACACATTTATTTGAATTATATTTTAATAATAAACAAATTAGTTTAGGTTTTCTCACGAATGAAGATGTGACATGAAATTATAGAAATTTGGTTTTGCGAAAAGGTTTGTGAATACCTTGTGTTACGAGACCTTACCCATAATAACACAATGGACTATTCCCTACGTAATAAATACTGCGCCTCAAGAGGAACAGGGAGTTCAGTCCGAAGTTGGCCGACCGGCTGATCTGCTGATCGGTTGAACTCTCTGCCTTCGGGCAGGGAGAAACCCGAACGAGGCTACGCCGAAGGGCGGAGTCTCTTTCGGGGAGGTAAGTTTATACAGGTTCAAAGGGCATATTTTTGGTCGAGCCCACGGGCTCGGAGATCCCACGTTAAAGCGGCCTTGTGCCACATGATCCCCTCATCGGGGGGTGACTAAATACTGTTCAGTCTGAAGTCTTGAGTGAAGTCCATCAGGAGCCTGTCAGTCAGTCAGAGCGAGCGAGTCAGTCTGTCGAGTCAGAGGCAGTCCGAAACAGAGTCGCGTTTCAGACAATTACTACTAAACCTGATTGTTCATACTAACACTTTCTACTTCTCTGTATATATTCCTGTTTGTAATTTATCTGTGTTATTCCATATCCGTGTTCGAGTTCTTCTTTATTGGTTCTACCTTGGTCTATCACCGTGGCACAAGGAACCGGACCATAACGCCTTGCATGGAACTTCTGAATAACAAGGAAGTCTTAAGGAAAAGGGACAAAAATATACTTGAACTTTGTTATATGTTATGAACACTAATGGGTATTTCTTGATTTTCATAAATACGTTGGTCACTATTGTAAGTGGGGGTAATATGATGTCTATGTAGTCCAGCATTGGCAGTGGTTTACCTACTTCACGCCGCTGGCGAGTATTGTATTTTGTTGATGTTATAAAGATTACCATTCCATTTCCAACCTCCGTTTTGGTTATTCCTCATTCAGTAACCCTCTTTAGGTTACAACAATTAGATATCTGTGTATAGGCAGCATGAATGTCTTACTTTTATGACATAAAAAAGATTCTTCTGTCACACTTCTTGGTTACATCTTCTTGGTTTTCAGACAACTTTGGTCTTCAATCACTTTCGCATCGCCGTAACATAGCTTCTCTCTGCCTTTTCTATAAAACTATTATTATTATTGTTCTGGAGAACTCTCCTCTTTGGGGTTAATTTCTAAATAGTTATTCATATCCTCCACATGCAATTTGTACATATGAGGACTAGTTAGCACTACATAGAGGCTCTGATGTATAGAGTGTCCCCCAAAATTTGACATCATTTCGCAGGCCAATAATGTTGTCAATTCTTGTTGAAAGAACCTCAAATTTTCACAGTATAGAAACAAATCAAGATTTTACATTTAATGTAAGAGGACAGTATGTGCTTATCTGAATGAGAATCTCCCAGAGAGATGGATCGGGCGTGGTGGAGATGAAGACAGTTCCT